CGCAGTTTCGTACATAGTCGAGTATTGAACTCAGCGTCCAAAAAATCTCTACCCACAAGTTTTCACACGTTTTTGAAAATTTTGGAACGGCAGCTTTTTGCATGGTGAAACCATATGCTTGAAGTTTCTACCTTAATCCTACAGTAATGAAAAACGATTGATGACTTGCTCTATACAGTAAATCTAAGCTGAAGCCAACTCTACAAATGCTACCTAAAGCCTCTCGAAAGCTTTCCATATAAGGAAGTTATTATCAATCAAACGTTCGATACATTCTTTTGGGGCATCCTGTATACTCTTGAGGCGGCCCCACGGACTGTACCTGCATGCGGAGCAGGCCCTCGGCTTCATGCGTGCCAGTTCAATTTTTCGCTATTGTACAAGTAGTGCCTTCTTGAGCTTTTACCCACGCCGCGCGTGCAATCTATTGTCAGTGGTGTCCACTCGGCGATACTTTATCACAGAGGGATTCTCAGAGTAACCATTCCTTACTCGTTAGTAATATGAAAGTCTGCTTAAACGACGCTAGCTGTATACTTTCGGAGAATATCCGTTGAAAATTGGCGATTGTTTATTGAGGTAGTTGGGGTTTAAAATAAATGACTAACGAGTCCATAACGAAAGTGCCGAAGATTTGCAACTATCTGTGCAGCTTTTTTGTAATGCTGCAGCAATTACTACCGATTCGAGTTAGGCATATTGCGGCAGATCCACAACATTTTGCATTGGTCATCGTAGGTGTTGGTGCATTTCATAGATATAAATAACAAATACATATCGACAATTGTTCAGCATTGAATAGGAGGTAAAATAAGCCAAATCTGTTTCATAACTGCTCATCTTGGAAGTTGGCTCAAGTTAGAAAGAGATAGATTTTTATAATACATTCACACTGCTCCCATGTGTAACTGTGTTCGTGAGTACCTTCTTCTATTCACAATGCACGCTTCCTTATTCGCAACAAAATTGCACTATTTCACTAATTTAGCTTTAGACTTTTCTTCTCGTAAGGACATGATTTGCAGGGTGACATTTGGTTTGCTACTTGCTTGTCCTTGGCCAATCGTGAGCATGGTTTTCGCTTGGAATCCGATGGCAGCATAACCATTGTGGACTCACATGCTTTTTCGAATGGAGTTCATGCTGTGCTGCTCGTTGGCTCTCCGCTTTCTGTATCTATCCAGAACACATTGATCAGCTCAAGCGGAAAGAACGGAATCCGAGCAGAAATTTCTCCTGATAAGTTTAGCACAATTAAGGTAGGCGCAGGCGCAGCGAATTACTGAAAACAGCAGAGCTGAATTTCAAGTATTCAGATCCAAGGCGTAAATCTTACTGGTCACTACTACAGTGCTGCTATTGAAGTCGAAGATGCCACCGACATAGATTTTGAGATCAGCTGTTGCCTCGTCACTGATAATTTCAACGGTGGAATTAGTTTGGATGGCATCACCGGTAATAGTACGGTATGTGGACCGAGATCATATATGCAGTAGTCAGACAGTAACCACTCTTAAGATCAGTATTCTTGGATCAAACTTCACGCGAAATCGTGGTAGCATCGTATCGATACCGCTCATCCAAGACAGTGACGTCATTCTTCATGGAAATTCATTTACTGCAAATCAATTGAACAACTTTGGTGAACATGAAGCTGTTGTGGACATAGCCACATTTGCAGAAGCACCAGGTGACTTCATATAAAATTGGTATCATTTCGAATGACATTATGATCAGTCAAATCAATATTTAGGATCAAAAATTCGCGTGGAAGACAACGAGTTTGAGCAGAATACTATGAACAATGTGCTAGAGTTGCGACATCTTGGAGGTACAATCTGTCTCACTTGCCGAGTTCTTTGACGTGACAAGTGCACAACCGCATCGCGAGCGTACCCATCCCCAGTTGATAGGACTACTGTACTTCCGTGAACATGGCCCTCTCC